ACTCCGTTTTTTATGCACACCATATATCGACAAGGGTAATCACTAAACTTACATCAACATTCTATTACTTTTATATTATTATATATGCATACTATTACTACTTTTTAATGCAACTTTTTGTGGAATTAATGGGCAGGTTGCTGGTATTCATTGGCATTACAACCATGCAAGCCACGCAGCGGAGCTCACGGTGGGCTACTACAACATTTTTGGGCAGAAGGGATATGCCCCTATTGTGGATGTGTTCAAGAAGAATCGGACGTTGTTAAATTTTACATGTGTCGAACTCGCAACAGTGGATAAAGATGGCGAAGCAGCCTCCGATCCGGAGTCCCTTGTCTGGCAGGTAATATTATTTGTTAGTTATTTATATAAGAAGTGTTTATGTGTTTGTGAAAATTGAGTGATTGATTTATTTAAATGTAAATACTAATGTAGGTGTTAAACACCGGTTGGGAGGCCGGATTGAACGTAGCTGGAGAAAATGCGCTCCCCTGTTACGACCGAGATTCGTACAACAGGATAATTCAAAATGCTAAACGCTCCGGAATCATCAAACATCCGAATGGGCGGCAATTAAATACTTTTACGTATTTGCGATTGGGCCCCATTTTGATGGAAAAAGCCAATTTAGATGAATTTGCGATTTTTGTTATGAAAATGAAGAAGGCTTGAAATTTATATTTTTGTAAGTTAAAGTAAACTTGTTTTAGAATTTGTTGTTTATGTACTAGTGTAGAATAACAATTAATCATATTTTCATCTATGCATATGATTATTCCTTCATAATTGACATTTGCATTTTATATATATTATATAATATACAATTTCTTTAGTATTTATAATTCTGAATATTTTGAATGAAGATATCGGGTATTTTAATTATTATTAAAAACAACAATTAAAAAAAGTATTTAGGCTTAATTTACTGTGAGTAATTAAGCAAATCCCTCAAATTAAAACAACACACACCTGTTTACTTTAGCGATGACTTCCACAATATAGCAGCACAAGCTTATGTACAGAGAGAGAGAGAGAGAGAGAGAGATCAAAACACATACTCTCACCCAAGATGGATGATCGGTGCAATCCGTATCTCTGATAGACAAACATGATTCTTTACATCATAGAAAATCGCTATTAGAGATCTAGTTCTAGTGCAGAGTTGTGTTCGATTAAAATACTGCTCAAAATTAAACCTCAAAACTGGTCACAAATTTTCATTTGATCACCAACACCAAGAAACAAAAAACATCAAAAAAATCCGTTCAGAAAAAAATAATTTAGGAAACTCCAAAAACATGTTATTTATTTGTATATAAGGGCGTCCAATGCCGATGTAATGAATTGGTACACCAACAATTTCTTTTATTCTTTCTACATAGTTGGGCAGCAGCCTTCGGCAACTTAGAGTACTCTCTACTGGAAGTAATATCACATTGCTACTTCCTTGGAAGAGTTGTCATACTGATCCAGTGTTTGCAACTCAGCACATTGAATGTTAAGAGCAGTCTCGTGACTTTCCCTTAACATCGACCCAATTCGAGTATAACCACTATGTTTGATATGGTATCCTGCAATTAACTCTGCAGCTAGGCTATCTGTGTCACGCGACCAATGAACACATGGTAGCTGCTCACCAATCACCCATCAAAACAGTTCAAAAAAATCCAACGTAGAGAGAAGAACAATAGCACAAGGGTCAGTTAGTTATTATCGAAGTTTTGATTCTTAAGATTGCATATTGTTTTAAGAAGTTCACTCACCTTTGCATCCAAGGGGGTGTGTATAAAGGCCGTGTTTGCTATTTTGAGTACCCGACGTGCATGATCAATCAGATACTCAAAGTACCACTCTAAGAAAAACACCCCATAATCGCTATGTTTATAGTCACCTTTATCACAGAAGAACCCAGTTTCGTGTGGTCTGGAATTATACGAACCTGCATTTTCAGGTACTCTACCCCAAGATGAATTACCCCTTCTGCCGCCTTCTCCAAACTCTTCGTCAAGTATTTATCATAGCAGTAAGAGGGGAAAAAAAGGGAGTTCGTTTTCGTACACACATCAGAACGTGTTCCTCATCAATTACATATCACAACAATAAGTGAAGGAAATCCAAAAAAATGAGTTCTTTTAATTTATAGTGAGAAAATAATAGGAGTTTGGTTTTGTGAATGCATCAGCAGAAAAAAAAAAGATAAATAACATTTAAAAGTTAAAGTGAGAATACAACCAAGTTTAGGATCTAAAGAAATATATATATGTCTAATGGCAAGATATTTAGATCAATACCCTGAAAAATTACCTGAAATTCTCCAATACCAGGGTATTTCCAGTCATGTTTCGCAGGATAAGATGGATATCGTAACTCCCCACATGGACCAAGTCCAATTTTAATCTCGGAAATGAGCCCACTTTCAAGGAATTCAGCAAACTCTACACAGAAGCTTCTCATGTAATCATAATAAACCTACATCACATAAACTAAATACTCAGAATTATGCATCTAGACAATACCAATAGGGAAGCGTTTCGATAAAAGTAGTAGAAAAACAAATTATTTCATGTAAGATCAATTTCTACTTTTCTTTTCCTAAAGGAATTATGTTACCTATTCCAAAGTAGTAAAAGATTAGTATACCTGAAGAGCTATTGGACCTCTCAAAACCAACCCGTTCGTTGTCAATTCCCCAAGTTAGACATTCACTGTTCCGTCTTGCCTCCCTATCAGTGAAGCTATCACCCATGGGGGAAGAGGAATATGAATATCATCACCGCGATTGCCTCCATATTCATGAAAAGACATAATCACCTATTTGAGCAAATATTAAAAATTCAAAACAAAAGCAACAACAAAACTTAATGATAAGTTCGAAAAGATATACGAGTATCTCAAAACTTAACCGACAACAAATAACATGTAGCATAAGATTAAGATGTTGCACAATCTGAAAAAGCTTTTTGTAGCCATTCCAGTTATATTGATTAGGAGCATGAGCTTCGACAATGCCCCACCAGCAATCAACTACAACCCCATCAACATTAATCGACTTAAGCATCCTCAATTGGTTTATCAATTCATCGGGATCAACCAATTCACAAAATTGATAGTACCTGCCTGTTAATACAAAAGATATACATAACATATATATAAAATATACTCAAAAAATAAAGAAAATTGAGTTTATATAAAAACAAGTGGTGCAACTAACCGGTAATATTACATAAACAAGAACATAAGGGGTGCCCGTAAAGTCTCGCTCCTGAATTAGTTAATTAGTTGATATACTACTTACATAAAAGTTTGGTAATTATATTGAAATGGCACAATTGTGAATTATACATAACAAATTTTATACATATTGAAATGTACGAATCACATTTTTATGTAAATAGGGTAAATTACGGCCACCCCTGAGGTATGGTCAAATGATGAAAACTTCCCTCATGTTTGGGTAATTACAGTTATCCTTTTCAACTATGTGTTATATTATGAAAAGACCCCTTTAGAGGTAAATTTAGAGATATTAATTCGTTAAAACTGAACCGGAATTTCAGTACGCCAACATTTCATATCGTTTACCAGATTAAATATACGATTTGGTTCGGTAAATAACCGAATTACATAAATTTTATGTAGAAATATATAAAAGGAGGGGTGATTGTAATTACCCAAACAATAGGGTTTTTCGTAATTTTGACCATACCTCAGGAGGGTGTCCGTAATTTGCCCATACTAAGGCTCTGATTAGTTCATAGATTCAAAATAAGGAAAATGAAAATGTAAATAAAAAGAAAATCTAAATAATATAGATCAAATGGAATAACAATGAGAGACAATTACATATATCAATTAAAGTAATTTGACATATTAAAATAATTGAAATACCTCACTCTAATATTCCCCTAATTATTGTTGTTATTATCAATATAATCCCATGATCCTCATCATCATTGCCACGTCATCTAACCCAATTTGCTCAGACATCAGTCAAACACCCACTTCTAAGATTGAGTTTTCTAGTCGGCTTCTTATTTGAATTATTATTATTATTATTATTATTATTATTATTATTATTATTATTAGAAGAAGAAGATTTGTTGAAAGCTTGAAGAATAGATTTGCATGTACCCATGGCGGAATTGTCACCTTTCTTTTCCTGCAAACACTTTTTCAAGGCTTCTTCAGCATTATTCCCATTCTTCTTCTCCCCCTTGTCCATCTTCAACAATTAAATATTAAATAAATAATTCAATTAATTAAAAAAAAAAAAATTTATTTTTTCTTCAATATTTCTGCACCTTGAGTTTGTGTGATATATGTTTAATATTTATAGATGGGTTAAAGGAAAATAATGTGAGTGATTTGGAGTAGAGAAGACACAAAAGTGGCATGATAATATTTGTTCACGGTCTTTTGTGCTTGCTGTACTTTTAAGGGTAAATTACAAAACCTCTTTGAAGTAAAAGTTTAATTATAAAAAAATCCTTTCTTTTTTAAGGAATCGTATCTAAGTGCCTTGCAATTTGTAATTTTCTTACATTCACACCCTATAGAAGAGTGTTAATGTAAGGAATCGACAAATTTCAAGGGGTGGATGCAATTATGAGAAAATAAGGAGTTTTTTTCGTAAATAATCCTTACCTTAGGGGGTGAAATCAGGTTAACCTTGTCAATTGACCGACATTTGAATTCCATTGCCAACGATTGTTAGTTCGGACATATCACATATAATTAACCTAGTGAAATTTAGGTCTGTCTTGTAATTTACAAGCTATTATTATCAGTTGATTTATATAATTAGTTGTGAATTCCTTCATTTAAAAAGACAAAAAAAATCTTAAATGAAAATAAAACAACCGAGGAGGACTTAAGTTTGACCTTTATCCACAATTTCCATTTTACAAAAAGAAAAACCCCTCTTAAAATCAACTGCAATAATAATTAATTACTTTGTCTAAAAATTTCACATATAAAAAATTATTTTATAAATATTTACATTTTCTATAATCCACGAATAAGAAAGAACACTCACCAATTTATTTATTTCTCCGCCCTTCCTTCCTATTATCTGCTGAATAAAGCTCCACTCTTCACATATAATAATCAATTCACCAATTTTTTTTTTGTTGGTCACTAAATTTGAAATTAATTACTATTTTCAAGCAAGTTTCTTGAAATTAGTAGTAGCGCCACCCACTTTGAGATCTGGAAACTACTCTCAGTTTGGTAAGAAATCTCAGTTCTCAGCTTATTTTCTTGATTCCCAGTTTGTTAATTGCTTTATTTCTCGATAAAGATTGGATTTTTATTTGCCTTTATTTATTCAGAGGGGTTTTCTGCCGTTGAGCCAGCTGCTTTAATCGGGTTAATGTATGGTAATTTGCAAAAGCAGCTTCTTGGGTTTTGTTTGGCTGTTGCCTGATTGAAATTTTCAGTTGAAAAAATTGTCTAATTCGGATTAAATTGTTTGCCCTAATTTGCTAAAGTTTGCCCCTTTTCCCCCCTTTACCACAAGTTCTTGAGGGTTTTTACTTTAGTTGGCTAAATTCTCCTTTTTTCTTGATTGGATTAGGTTTTAACTTTAAAACTTCAATAATTCCCAATTGCAGTTTTTTTTTTTTTTTTTTTTTTTTTCTGGTTATAAAATTAAGAAAATTGGGGATTTTTTAACTTAGAATTTGGAAATGGATTATCCATGGGAAAACGGGTTCTCGAGTGGCAATGTAGTGCAAGTTCTTTCGGGCAACCCTACGAATACTGGAAACGAGAACATGGGTCCCACGTTCGAAGATCAAGCAATGTGGGCCACGGAGGATGACTACGGTTTGTGGAATGCAGAAGACACGAGGCAATCTCAATCCCGTTTGGAAAGCGATCAGCCACCGAACAAAAGGTCTAGAACCTTCCAATCGGTGGATCTAGAATCTTCCAACCGGTCAAAGGCAATCGGGAAAATGTTCTACAAGACCAAACTATGCTGCAAGTTCCGAATCGGGACTTGCCCTTACATCACCAATTGCAATTTCGCGCACAACATGGAGGAGCTCCGAAAGCCTCCGCCCAACTGGCAAGAAATCGTTGCCGCCGCGGCCGCCCACGAGGAGGAGCAAGGAGGTGGAGGAGGGTTGACCTCCGGTCAAAGGGAGGAGTATCAGATACCGATTCTTGGGGTTGGTGACGAGGCGCAGAGGAATTACAAAGGGCGCCACTGTAAAAAGTTCTATACCGAAGAGGGCTGCCCGTATGGGGAGAGTTGCACTTTCCTGCACGATGAGCAGTCGAAAACAAGAGAGAGTGTGGCGATAAGTTTGGGCCCCGGTAGTGGTGGTGGTGGTGGATATAGCAACGGTGGCGGTGGATATAGCAATGGGGGTGGTGGAGGATCGGTATTGAAGCCGTCGAATTGGAAAACGAGGATTTGTAACAAGTGGGAGCTCACGGGGTATTGTCCCTTTGGCACCAAGTGTCATTTTGCTCATGGAGCTGCAGGTATAATATATATTCTATTCAAATTGTGCTTGCAAATTCAAATACGGTTTTCGAAGTTTGCATGAGTTTTATGTGAAATATTAAATAGAATACGAATATACTATTCTCGATGCACTCCTATGGTGGTGGAAATCAGACGAATCGGATCGGAATTAGCATTTTCGAAAAGAAAAAAAAACGACTTTTTTGGAAGTGAAAAACTAATTCCAATTCCGTTCGGAAAAAAAAAATCGAACAATGGAATGAAAAAACTTTTTAATAAAAAAATTTCGTTTTGGAAAATTCCAATTTTTAGTACCCTAAAATATAAAATGCATGATAATTTTGATATTGTAAGTGTATTTTTCGGGAAAAAAATAAATTTTGGATCGGAATTCGGAATGAAAAATTCCGTTCGAAAATCATGCATGTCTTTTTTCCCTTATTTATTTCTACAATAGCATTTTTTTAAATTACTTCCTAATTTACGACAAGTTTTTTAAAAAAAGAATCTTCGTGGAAAAACAGAGCTGAGCCGTTTTGGTGGAGGACAAATGGAATCGGAAGTTCAAGATTCTTCGAATCTTGATGCCAAGCAAGGAGCGGGTCCCACTACAGCTTCGGTAGATACGGTTCTTCGTTCGGAGGGTTATCATATTGGAGTTCAATCGCAGAGATTAATGTCGAACGCGATACAGAAGATTGGGCAGAGATCATCTACGCAGAAATGGAAGGGGCCAGACAAAATTAGCAAGATATATGGCGATTGGATCGATGATCTTTGACTACTTAACAAGTTAATTATTGCTAATCGGGTTTTTGTATTAGGATAAATGTGTTCGATTATTTGTTCGGTTTTTGTTGTTGTTGTTGTTGTTGTTGTTGTTTGTTGTTGTTGTATTATAAGTTTTATTGTAAACCCTTCCGTATGGAATGTTTGTTTTGTTGTTACTGTGTATTAAGAGCCTCCGTAAATTACGAAAATCCCCCTGAACTTAGGTCAAATTATGAAAAACATCCCACTTATCCGTAATTAAATACTAAAAGTCTAATATATATATATATATATGGCAAATTACGACCATCCCTGAAGTATGGTCAAATTACGAAAAAACCCATCTTGTTTGGGTAATTACAGAACCCCTCATTTTAAATATTTTAATTTAATTTTTTTGTAATTCGGCTATTTACCGAACCAAATCGTATATTTAGTTCGGTAAACGATATGAAATGTTGGCGTACGGAAATTTCGGTTCGATTTTACCGAATTAACATCCCTAGATTTACCTCTTAAGGGGTCTACGTTTCGTAAGATATACATAGTGGAGGGTGATTATAACCCAATCAGGAGGAGCGTTTTCGTAATTTGACCATAACTCAAGGGTTGACCGCAATTTTCCCATAATATATATGCATAAAAGAAAAACAAAAAAAAAAAATCAGAAAAAAAAAATTATATATATATAATTTTTTTTAAACGGTCAAGTCAAAACACTGAAAATCCAGCCCTAATATTTCCCAACCGGTCGCCACTTTCAATCTCCGCCGCTCGCCGCACGCCGCCGGCAGCAGGGCCCACTCCGCTCAACTCCGCCGCCGTCAACACCGGCGCTCCATCGCCCCACCGCCGTCAACTGACGACAGGTCAGTCTTGTGTATATCAATATGGAAATAATAATAAGTGTCTTTGTTAATATTCTGATTCTTCGACTGATTTTGCTATATTGAGATTTGATATTTATTTTTTTCCAAAGAATCGATTCATGTGCAATGTGAAAGAAAATATGTGGCTAATTTAACATAAATTAGAATTCTCTGTCGGAAGTTGTATAGTGGGGATTAAGGAATATTTACACACTTGAAGAACGTTAAACATTCTCTCAAGCCCGACTACAACATTTATTTACTAAAAGCACCAGTTTTTGTGTGTGTATGCGTGTGTGTGTGTTTGTTGGAGTGAGAGTGTGGGTGAAAAGGGTGTGTTTGAGTGTGTGTGTGTGTGTGTGAAAAGGGTGTGTGTGTGTGTTGGAGTGAGTGTGTGGGTGAAAAGGGTGTGTTTGAGTGTGTGTGTGTGTGTTGGAGTGAGTGTGTGGGTGAAAAGGGTGTATTTGAGTGTGTGTGTGAAAAGGGTGTGTTTGAGTGTGTGTGTGTGTATGCGTGTGGTGTGGGTGTGTGGGTGTGAAAAGTGTGTGTGTGTGTGTGTGTGTGTGTGTGAAGTGTGTGTTGGGGTGTGCGAAGTGTGTGTTGGGGTGTGCGAAGTGTGTGTTGGGGTGTGCGAAGTGTGTGTTGGTGTGTGTGTGTGTGTGTGAAGTGTGTGTTGGGGTGTGCGAAGTGTGTGTTGGGGTGTGCGAAGTGTGTGTTGGTGTGTGTGTGTGTGTGTGTGTGTGTGTGTGTGTGTAAATATTTTCGAGTTTTACTCATAAGAT